GTTTTCAACTCATTAGTGAAATGAAATCTAAAGTAATGCTTTACTCTTTTTCTTCTCCAGACAATAAGCTTATTCATTTTTGTGGGATTTATAGGAGAGTTCCAAGTTTTTTCAAGGTAAGAATTATTTGGATTGTGTGTGAAAATCATTAAAAAATATTAAGGAAATTTTTTTAGTGTGGTCTAATTCTTAGGTTGCAGCTTGAGAGTATTTATTCCTACAACATGTTTTTTTGTCTGTCTTATTTTTAGAAAAATTGATGGTATCAAAAGAGTATTTTATTATTCTTTTACTTTATTTTTTTTTCCCTGTAAGTAAGAAACTTAAAGACTAAAACACCTCAAAGGTTTTGTCCTGGTACCACGATTTTACCTGTGACTCAGAGAATCCCAGCAGATTCACACATCCTAGAGTACTATTTGATCTTTAAGTGTAATCCTTGCAAAACATTTTAAAGGTTGAGAGTTTTCTTAGAAAATGGTTTTATCATTTCTTAGGACCTGGAAAAGCAAACATCAGCCACCTCTGACTTTTTTGTTTTTTTGTTTGTTTTGTTTTTACTGTCAGGGTGATGGGAATAGGTCAGGTCATTTTATGGAACGATTAGAGTATGTGTCAGGGCTGTGCTAGGACCTGGGGATGCCGAGAAGTTAGAAGGCCCTTAGTGTCTACTGGATGACTCAGATCCTGAGATGGTTCTTTGCAATGTGAGTGTACTAAGGGGCCTGCGCAGGATGATGTAGGGAAGTCCAAGCTAGCTTTCAGTCCTAAATCTCTGTATTTGGGGAATACCTCTGCTTTTCACTGGGACACAAAATAGACAACATTAAGTTCAGATTGTTTAAGGGTCAAATATACTCAGTTATTGATGCCATATGAAAACTGGTTACCAAGGTTGGTTCCATAAAAGAACTTGAGGTGCATATAATAGAGAAAGGGATTGATTATTTTCAGGATAATCAACAGTCTTAAGGTATGCAAACATCACCTTGATTCAAATGTTTTTTCCAACAATTCCTAGATGTGCTAGGAATTCAGAAGTCACAAATCCTGGTCCCTTTATCTTTTGGCAAGTCAATTTTTTAAGACTAATCCAATGTCCTCCTTCATAGAGTTGAGCAGTGTATGAGAGCCAACTCTCCGTTTCCTGCATGTACTTTATTTGAGTGGAATTGTTTAAGCTCAAATTGCTGCACTTGGGCATGTGCTTGAGGAGTAGCCTAAATGAGCATGGTAATGTTTAAATATAAATCACTGTCACTTTAGCCCTTGCTAGCTTTTAAGAGACTGTTTCTCATAGGGTCTTATTAGAGCTAATTATTTCTCAGTTAAGTTTTTGAATAACTCTTCAACTCATTATGCAGAACCCTCTCAAAAACCTAGCAACTTCCTCCTGTACATTCTCATCTACCCTCCCAGTCTGAGCACTCTTTTCTCTCTGTATTTCCATAACACAGAGATGTTATTACGACATCTCTGCTATCATATCTACTAGATTAGATCTGTTGTCCTATGATTGAACATTTGTATCTGTATCCTTCCCTCTATCAACAATGAGCTACCTCTTTTATTATTTTTACAACTTTGGTGTCTTAATAGTACCTCACACACAGTAGATGTTTAATAAATGTCATTCTCTAATAAGCCCATTTTTTTATGCTTTAGAATACTCTTAATATTCCTTAGGAAAAAATATTTTTTGAAGTGTTTTTGATTATTCTTGCCTATTCTTTGCATTCCCTGGCTTATCTTCTTGTGTTTTATCATGGACATTTTGAAACTACCACAAGTGCCTCATCTCCAGTCAACTGCCAGTGGGATTCCTATGGCCCTTGGTCAGAATGCAGTGGCTGTACCAAGACTCAGGTAGGACAACACTAAACTTTGTATTTGGTTACTTATATGCAGAAACAGCTTAAGTATGACCAAAATGACATGAAATTTTAATCTTCATAAAATTAGTGCTAGTGTTTTTTTTTGATAATTATTTTAGTAGTTTTGAAGGGAAAAAGTATGACTTAAGTTTAATGATATCATAAAAAGTAATTTCTACATTTGTTTTTCATGAAGAAAAATCTTTCTAGATCTTGTCTGTGGCAAGAAAGTGTATGGGCCAAAAATTAAAAGCAACTCACTAATTTTGTTAGAGAAATAGAAATAGCATGAAATGAAATTAATAGATAATCTAAAATCTGTTTCATTTCCGTCATTTCAACCTTTCTTCTTATTTTAAACACACACTAGCAAATAACAAAATGGTTGCTTTGTTTTACTTCACAAATAATGACCAACCATAAAAAAATCAAAATTTTTTTTTGCAATATTTTAAAGTTTAATTCCCAAAGAGTACAAATAAAATACTAGAATTGACTCGGATATTATATAGTCACTCTAAAGATATGTTTTGTTTTCTTTTATAAGACATTCATTGAAGAAAATACAGAGATATGTAAGGAAAGAAAACAGTATTCGTAATTTCACTATTTAGGAGAAACATATATCAGTATTTGAGTATTTACTTTAGCTTAATTTCCATGTGTTTGTAATTTAAAAAAAAATAGGATTATCTCATCAGAGTATTTTTGTATTATACCATTTTAACCTAACGTACTGTCAGCAAGGTACAAGAATAATGAGACAAAAGTCAAAGAAACACCGAGAACATGAAACATTTTTATAATATAAAAACAAGAAAGAACTTTAAGTAGACAGAATATTTTTTTTCTTTGAGTGAAGGTCATCATGCAATGATTATAAAGCAACATTTTTTTTTATTCAGAAAGAGACAAGTGAAAAATGAAAAAGGGGTCATAAGACCAGAACTTGACAGGTGAGAATGAGCCTGTTCAGAGTGGGTGGCGTTTGGGGCACCTTCGAGGATGGAGAGAGCAAACACTCCTTATACCAACAACAGGATCCATGCTTTGGAACCTCAGAAAAGGAGCCTTTGAAGAATCAATTAAAAACAGAAACTAAAAATGTATCAAGCTGCTTTGTTAAGTTCCACTCCTCTTTCATGGTTCCTCTGCTTAGATCACTGAAAAGAACCAGGGTCAGCTCCAACTGATGCAAATTTATTCAGAACTCAAAGTTCATGATGCTTATACCAAGGAATCCCCACTTGTACCCTAAGTCAGGGAGGATGGATAAACTCAAAGTTGGTTTAGGTACCCAGTCTTCCCTGTTGGTCTTCGCTCAAGGTGTAAGTATTCTGAAAGTGATGTTTGGCTCGTTTTTTTTTTATTAATGGAGGAAGGGTGAAGAAGGGAGAGATGCTGAAAGATACATCTCTGTTTCTGGTGGGTAGGAAAATGATTTTGTAGGTCTTTTTTTGGGGTGAGGGGACAGTGGTACTCATGATTGAACTCAAGGGCATTCCACCAGTGCTGTGAGGGGGCAAAATTGCGACGCATGTAGTCGAAGGGAGAAATAATGAATGTCCATGCACTTCTGCCCCTTTCAATGCTTTATTCACTCAAATTACTCAATACAGTTTCACTCTATAGGTTCTTAATCAAGAAAACGACAATCCTTAATGCTAGGCACTGCAATAGACATAATCAATTCACAGCAAACAATTCTAGGTTAATTAATTCACAGTAAACAATTCTAGATTAATTCTAAGCACTGCAAAACACACTTAATCATGACAGGCTAATGACAGACATTCCCTCTGCGTGCTAAGTTCAAAAGTCTTAAGCTTTAGGCTTCATGTCCAGCAGATGCACACTTACTCAGACCGTGGTGACCAGGTCCTGAACCAAGGCAGGCTTTTCCTGGAGTGGAGCGTAAGACCAGTTGAAGACGAGGTCATAGGGAGGAGTTTTGGGTTTTCCCGGTTCCTTCGGGGTTTCGGGACCCTTGCCCTTTGTTGGGTTTTCGGTTCTTCTGCGGGTTTTCCTTTTTTGTGCTTTCTTGTTTCTTGTTGCTTTGTCCTTTTTTTTTTGCTCTATTTTTTTTGGTGGTTTTTGGGGGGGTTTTGATCCTGCTTTTCTATCCTCAGATTTCTCAGTGACATCATTTACCCTGAGGTCATAAACATCAGGTCTGGTGGTCTCCACCCTGATCTTCTCACCTTTCCCTCTTATCAGGTGAGGACAGGCTGCCAGAGGCTTCCCTCTCTTTATCAGGGTGAGGGGAAGTAACTTGTCTGAGGCCATACTGGAGGGATCTGTGGATGTGCCTGGTGAGACTGCAGGTTTCAAACTCGAGTTTTTAAAATGGAGTTGCTTAGGCTCAGGCCTCAGGCTATCCTAACAACAAGTAAGCCACATCCCAGTCCTATTTTGTATTTTATTTAGAGATAGGGTCTCACTGAGTTGCTTAGCCCCTTGCTTTTGCTGAGGCTGGCTTTGAACTTGGGATTCTCCTGCTTTAGCCTCCCCAGCCACTGGGATTAGAGGCGCATGCCACAGCGCCTGGCCTAGATCTTTATTTTTGTTTAATATTAGAGATATGTCTTTATACTGATTGAGGAGTCATGAATTTTAGGACAAATTAGTTTTACGTTTTTCATTTAGCTTGATAATTCCCTCAATTTACCTTCCGAGGTGCATTTTTCACATATTTCCCATTTTACAGGTTAATGCTTTTGTTTGTCTAGTAAGATTTCATTGTAATCCTTTGGGCCACTTAGGTTGTCTTGTAAACTTGGCCTCCACGTTAGTATATTTCTCTCTGGGTTAGTTTCCTTGCCTTTTTAAAAAAGGTCTACGGTTCAGCTCAAATCACTTGTCACCATTTTTCTGAAGGTGAGCCTAACTCCTCTTTACCTTAATTCCCCTTCCCAGTCACCCTTACTTTCACTCCAGTAAAATTTACTTCACCATTTCTAATTTAATTAACTCTTGTTAGATAGCCTTGGTCAAAACATTTTACATTGTAATCTATTTGCTTATGTGTGTACCCAGTTAAGCTTCACTCTTTCAGGTTTACTTTTTCAAAGAATCATTTAGAAAAGGTTTTTGTTTTTTCCCCACTTAAACCTGAAAATAAATATAAAGCTGGGAGCTCTCTATAAATAGTAATAATCCAAGTGTCACTGAACTGAAGGACAAGAAGATCTATGCATTCCATCCATTAGTTTTTTAGGTTTTACTTATGTAGAACACCAGGACAATTTCCTGGATATTGTTTTGCAAATTGTGTTAATTCTTCTCAGATATAAAAAAATGTATGTGCATATTTTTGTAGTGCTGGGGATTGAGCCCAAGGCTTCATGAATGCGAGGTAAGCACTGTACGGCTTGCTGAGCCACTTGCTCAGCTCCTCTCTCACATTTGAGTACTCAGAAAAAGGAAATTACAGATAAAAAAATAAAGACACTCCCTATTTTGTGTTTAGACTCGCACACGCTCAATCGCTGTTTATGGGCAGTATGGGGGCCAACCTTGTGCCGGAAGTGCTTTTGAAACACGGTCCTGTGAACCTACACAGGGGTGTCCTACAGAAGAGGGCTGTGGAGAACGTTTCAGGTGTTTTTCAGGTAATTTGCTTTTCATAGGGTCAGACCACGAATTGAAATGCTATTTGTTTTACTTGCTCAATATTTGTTTGTTGATTTTTACTGAATTTATGTTGGCTGATAAATTGATTTCCCCCAAATATCAGAAAGATTTTTGTGATATATTAATCACACTTTCAGCTATCATTCCTCTAAAGGCAAGGGAGGCATCTGATTATAAAAGTGGGAATATTATTTGAAGAAGATTATGCCTATTAATGGGCCTAAACCGTTCTTTTAAAAATGTTTTTATTATTGATGGATCTTTATTTTATGTATTTATATGCAGTGCTGAGAATCGAACCCAGTGCCTCACACATGCTATGCAAGTACTCTACCACTGAGCTACAA